TTCATAAATTTAATGCTATGCGCCTCTTACCTTAAGCTTATGAGGTAGTTTTAACCCCAGGCTCCGTGATTACAGATTTTGTAAAGATTTAAGGATCAGGATCAAATTTGAAAACTCTTAATACTCTTCATTGTTTATCCTCATATATTGAATATATTAATTTTTTATAAAACTTGACTTGCAATAGCAAGTTTCTGAAATTTGAGAATGATTTAATTGTGATTTAATTGTTACTTATCCAAGATACGGTCATTATACAATTGATACAAATCCGAATAATTTTGTGTTTGTTTTGTTTTTTGGCAAATCAACAATTTGTGTTACATTTTAAAAATTTAGCAAAACACGATTAATCTAAGTCATATAAAACAATGAAAACAAAATCAGGACCACATGATCCTGATCTTTTATAAGTGAACATAGAGCCTGGTGTCCCTTCAGGTTTGACATCCTAGGTAAAACCTGACAAACAAGATCAACAAGGAAAGGCGGCATTCAGCCTATATCGGTGCAATATGAGCTTGATTGTGTTGGTGCGCCGTAAAACCAATCAATTGATAACAAATTGCTGGCAATCTTAATAAGGAACAAATAGCCTCAAAATCTTGAAATCAAATTTGAAAAAAAAAACGAAACAAAAAAAAACAATTAAAATCATTGTTGCTTTCCGAAAAGGTCATTGTTTCCAAAATAAAATAGGTAACTTGGCGAAAAAATATTTCATATTAGTGGTACTTGTCTACCTGGTGCGTAAAAATATCTGGTGATTTAAATAAGGCAAAGTACACGAACATTGCAGACTCGGTTTGGTTGAATGTGTTCACGAGGGATAATAAACTAGAAATGTGTCCATAGGACACTGTTCTGTCAATCTTGTGACTCTAGAGCAAATATTTTTTGAAAACTAAAATCTTTTACTAATTAAAGGGCAAGAACTTTACAAATACTGAATAAATCCACGAACAAACCCCAAGGTGCATAAGTACAACATAATGAAACGATTTTTACTAAGTCAAGGGTAATAACTCTACAAATACTGGATAAATCCACAAGCAAAACCCCAAGTGCAAAACTAAATATGCTGAGCAACCTTCCCGTAAGGTTTAATGACTCTATGTCAAATACGTTTTGAGTTACATGCGACACAAATTGAAAATTGCAAAACTTTTCTAAGTCAAGGGCATTAACTCTAAAAATACTAACAATATCCAGACGAAAATACCCAGGTGCACAACTACACATGCTGATCAACATTCCTGTAAAGTTTCATGACTCTAGGTAAAATACTTTTTGAGTTACGTGCGACACAAAAGTGAACGGACGGACAAGGGTAAATCTAAATGCCCGCCAATAAAGTGGGGGCACAAAAATGCAACATCCCTCACGACTCCTTATCGGGCTGAGCGGTACTCAATTTAATAGGGAAAATAAGAATCCTTACAGAAAGCCAAACACGGCAAAATTAAAAATGTTGCTGGCTCGGTTTAAGCCTTTTTATGGACGGTACTGTCAAGTGCAAACTATAGTCCATGCGCTCTACGTATTCTGTAATTCTCTTTTTTAAGTAAAATTCAACATTTTTAACACACATTTTTTAATTTGGGACCATATGCCGCTTTTCATGGAATTTTACGTGTCACATTGTAGGTTCCTTGTAACCGCCATATTAACACATTGCTGATGTTTAAAGGTCCAAATTGTACCAAGTCCGGTAGTTTGCACTTGACAATATCGTCCATGAACAGGCTCAATTAAACATTTTCAATTTCGCCGTTTTGGGTTTTCCCATCGGATTCTTATTTTCTCTATATTAAAACATGAAATGGTAAATTTTTCAATTTAGAAACACCCGCATATGTATTCGTAAGCCTTATTTGGCCAATCATCAAATAATACAGAATACATTTAGGATGGAATTATTTGTTGAAGAAGCTGTCATGGCACATAAGACATACAATTGACAAACCACGCAAAAAATCTTATTTATAAAAGATTATTAAAATTCTGCCCAAGAAGCATTCATCACAACAATATTACATGAAAATTTCAGACTCTGTTTGATTGAGTCAGTGCATGAGGGATAATGAGTGCAACGTCCTGGCACCGGCTTGAGCAGTACTCAATTCTCAACACTAAATAGTGCTGGCATCAAATATCCCGAAGGACCAGAAAAATATAACAAAACTGAAGTGAAGTACTTAGCAACTTTTATTAGGGGGCGTGGACGGTAACTTGCACTTTCCAGTACCGTCCATAAAAAGGCTCAATCAAACCGAGCCTGCAACATTTTCAATTTTACCGTGTTGGGCTTGAAGGTTCCATGATAACCGCCGTATGAACACATCTGCGGATGTTTCTAAATTCAAAATTTTACTATTTCATGTTTAAATGTTGAATTCTGCTTAAGCCGGTGCTAGGGGGCGTGGACGGTAACTTGCACTTTTCAGTACCGCCCATGAACAGGCTCAATCAAACCGAGCCTGCAACATTTTCAATTTTGCCGTGTTGGGCTTTCTTTAGGGATTCTGCATTTATCTATTTTCTTTAGGGATTCTGTATTTATCTATGTTATGATCACATCCGTGTTATTTGTGCCGTGTGGCGGCTGTAAAGTCTCCCCGTACATTTAATCAATGATGTTATATTTTCGATCCTTGAAGATCGTTCAGCACGACATTATTGTTGTGCTTGTGGTATTTTTAGTTTCAACTTTTCGGCATTTTCTAGTTGGGTGGTTCCAATATTCCTACTTCAATAATGTTGAATCACCCTTAGGATATGTTGCCTGCTTTTTAAATTTGTCTTTTGACGTCTTGTCTGTGATATGCAGGCTTCATAACCTCTGATCCCCTTTTAAAATTCCATTTTATTTGGTTTACGCCCATTGTTTTCTCGTTTAGGGCACACGCTTTTTATTACTTGGGGACCATACGCCGCTTTTCATGGAATGACACGGAAGTGTCACATTGAAGGTTCCATGATAACCGCCGTATGAACACATCTGCGGATGTTTGTAAATACAAAATTTTACTATTTCATGTTTAAATGTTGAATTCTGCTTAAGCCGGTATAGGGGGCGTGGACGGTAACTTGCACTTTCCAGTACCGTCCATGAACAGACTCAATCAAACCGAGCCTGCAACATTTTCAATTTTGCCGTGTTGGGCTTTCTTTAGGGATTCTGTATTTATCTATTTTATATCTGCCAGACCGCACTTGACACCTGCTGTTGTGAAGTATTAAAATCTGTCGTTAAGGAAAATCTGGATAAAGCGGCGTTTTGTTCCCATGATAAAGTTTTCGTGTTTCTCGAACGAATTTTACGATGGTTCGAAACGATAGAAACGATAACCTAAGCAATCCAAATATAACATTACCTCCAATTGAGGCCCTATATTCAGTTACATAAAATATACTTTCAATTTACGGCGACTGAACATTAAGATCGGAAAGAACTTTTATTATGATATTCACGGCGTTTAATCGTTACTGGGATCCTACATATTACCGGACAAAATATGATGTTTTATTGCTGTAACTTTTATTTAAAATAATAAAAAAGAATGGAATTTTACCCAAATAATTTTGGGTTCTTAATACAAGTAAACATTACTTTAACAATCATGAAATTAAACATTTGACCGTAGAAATGTGTCTTTAAAGTAGGGCATTATAAGAGAGAAAAAATCGTGTAGACAGCTCAATTTACCGGACATTGGGTTTCAAAATTTTTGAAGTATTGAATTGAAATTAATCTTTAAATAATCAGCAAGGAAACTACGACTATTGAAAGGCAAGGTAAAGATATTGGAAAAAACCAGTATGTCAATAAAACAAGACACGGCAGCCATGCTTGTTACAAAGAAGCCAATATATGGGGTGTAATTGAAATTAACACTATAAACTCAATTAACGTATTGATTCTTCATGAATCTTAAACGTATGAAACATTTTGATATTCAAATGGAATTCTGTTCTTTGTCATACAGTTTCCTTTTGGTCATCATGTAGCATGTAACAAAAGCCATAAAATCTATTTAATTTACATCTCATGTAGAGTTTCCTCCCATGGGCGTAACCCGTTTCCTTGTACGTTTTTAGCTCGACTTTTTTTTTTGAAAAAAAAGTAGAGGTATTGTTATAGTCAGGTCGGCGCTCCCGTTGCCGTTGCCATTGCCGTTGCCGTCCGCAAACTTGTACCTGGATCATAACTTTTTTATTTCTTGGTGTATTGTCTTCATACTAGGCCACAACAACCCTTGGGACAAGACCTTTCAGTAGACCACACTAACCTTGACCTTCATCCATAAATGACCTTGACCTTTAAGGTTAAAAGTCCAATTTTTGCTTGTTCATGCTGTTATTGGCTGTAACTTTGTTATTTTTGAATGGATTGTCTTCAAACTTGAACATGATAATCTTTAAGGATATTCCTTAAAAATAACAAGCCAGACCTTGACCTTCACTCATAAATGACCTTGACTTTGATGGTCAAATTATTGAAATTTTCATTTTTTTGGCTTTTATTGGCTGTAACTTTGTTATTTTTGAATGGATTGTCTTGAAACTTGAACATAATAATCTTCAAAGATTACTGTTAAAAATATACTGAAAGACCTTGACCTTCACTCATTAATGACATTGTCTTTGAAGGTCAAATTATTGAAATTTTCATTGTTTTGGCGGTAACTGACTGTAACTTTGCTATTATTGAAGGGACACTCAGAGACGTCGACCTCTGCCACGAATTTTCCGTGAACGGACAGACGTCCTCGACAATTTGAGGGACAGGGAAGTGGTTGAACGGTACCGCCTCTCGCGGGAAGCAATTTTTGATTTGCATAATCTCATTAAAGATGATATAAGCTCATCTTCAAATAGAAGTTTTCCTGTGCCGCCTTTGACAAAGGTACTGTATGCCAATAAATATTTCGAACAATTGCATGATATTAGCTCTTCAATACTGTAGGGCGACAAATCTAGGTTGATATTTTCGGTGATTTTCCTATAGTTGTTTCCCTTGTATAATTTGTTTACATAGTTGACAACAACAACCAAAGTTCAAGGACGCTACAAATTCATTTAGTCTAGCGGCAAATAAGCAAGCCAAACTTGAAGGATTATATAGGGAAGTTGATAAGATATGTTTTTCTATCACATATTTTATAATGATAATATTGCTGTCAGCGTTTATTCATTAATAATTTAATAGAATAATCCGATGGAACTGTCAACATTTCGGATAGTTACTAGTGCCTGTAGTACAGCACTAATTTGTTGATGCACGATTCATTACACGCTCGATAAATACACTTTTTTTCTAAACAAGTTAAACTCCGTTGTCCATGGGTCTGTAGCTATCCAACTCACATTTTATTACCACCCTTGACTCCACTACTGCTACAGTGTTTGTGTCACAATTGACAAGTCGTCTTGTGAAAAATATCCTTTTATCTTAATATTTACAAACTCCCACTCCCTTTATAGTATATTTACCCTTTATAGTATATTTACCTCGTGATTCTCGACCTCCCTTTATAATTTTTTATAAATTTAATTATGTGTACAATTTGGATTGACAGTACCCCCGACCCTTAGACACTTCATCTTAAGTTATTTTTCGCAGACACTTTAGCCTACCACTTATTTTATGAAATATTTCATTATCTGGTTGAGATACTACACCCCTTCCACCCAAACTTGTTTTGTGCTTTTCAAATGAAGATGGGATGTAAACAATGGTTTGAAGATGAGATGTAAACAATGGTGATTGTTTTAAAATATTTTTATTATATTATCAATACATGTATGTACACAAATGTACAATGTATAGACTTACAGTAATGAAATAAAAGTATTGTTTTCTTCAAACAAGATATAGCAAATAGAAATGGTCACGATATATTTCTTTCTAAAATTTATTATAACATTATAATTTCAGTGACAGTTTGACTGACAAAATAACTTACTTTACGTCTGTTAATTTAAATGGGGCTCGAGTTGAATTGTCAGGGGTGAAGTGTCTTGTACAATCCCCCCCCCCACCACCCCCCCAGAAAAAAAATATGTTATTCTTGTCTTTCACCGTTTTGTGAAAAAAATCCACTACATATAAGCGAAACATATAAATGGAAACATATAAGTGCAAATTCATAAATATTATACAGAACACTGTATCATTAACTTGAGATAAATGCAAATACAATGAAACTTATTCCTAATTATAAATTTTGAAGATTTTGTTACACAAAATCGGGTTTTATTTTATCTTTTTGTTTATATAACTCATTATGTATGTGCAGCAAATAGGCCCCATATAAGTTTAAAAAAAACTTGAAAACCCTCCTGCCATAGGTACATGTGCTGTTTCCCACAAAAGAGATGCAAAGCCAGGCACAATTGAAAATAACAAAAATAAGTTTCACTACAATGAAAAATAAATACATTTTTACAGTAAAATACGGAAAATAAAAAAGTACCCATTTTATTTCTTCAATATTTCATAATATTTCATTTATAAGTTAATAATTGGAAGGTAGCTTAAAAATCAATTGCATCTTGTAGATTATGGCCTAACCAGTTACACAATATTAATGAAATTTGTGGGTTTTTTTAGTTTTAGAACTGCCCTGTATCATCTAGCTGCAATTGTCATAAATTTCGTTTGTATTTAATGAAAATATGCAAGGCATCAGCATTTGGTGTAGAATTTTATACAATATAATAATTTGTTGTATCAGCTGACACATATTACCACAATTCTCATAATATGCAGTACTTATGTGTTTATAAGTTTTGTTCAGTGTATATATCTTACAAGAAAACTTTACACATTGCTCACTATTCACTATTAAACAGAATGTGACATCATTTGTTTATTTTCAGCTTCTGGTCACTTTGAGATACTTGGCAAAGGGAGATTTTTTCAGTGAGACTGGGGATCTACATGGAGTTAGTAGGAGTTCAGTGAGCAGACATGTATGGCAAGTAAGCACAAATTATGTCTAATCAGTTGCCCTGATAATTATTGATAATGTTGATTTATTTGTATGATTAACTACTATCAATTACCAAATGAATTAATTGAATTTTTGAGTCATCATTTTGAAGGGTGCTGTCCATCTATACTGGATGTTGGCACAACATTTTTTCTTAAAATGGTATGCACAATGTTTTTGCAACAGTATATATAACCTATCAAATAGCAAAATGTTTTTTCACATTCAAAGTGAAAACTGAATCTGCAAGATAAAATTTTAAAATCACAAAAGGTATTACTTTGAAATTTTATGAATAACTTTATTATTATATTACTGAGGCCAATGACTCATATATATACATTTTTGACTGACATGTTAATTTGTGAACTAAGAAAAACCTGGATAACTTATGTAAGTAACATAATTTTCAAGACCTGAAGGTGCATGTATATTTACTTTAAATGTAATTAATTGCTTAATTTTGCAGGTTGTGAATTCAATCAATGAAAGACTGGAAAACATAAAGTTCCCAACTTCATCAGCAGATATATCAAATGTGAAGAGAGGATTTTACAAGGTGGCAGGTTTGCCTAATTGTGTTGGTGCTGTGGATGGGACTTTGATCCCAATCATAGCACCAGCAGGATTAGAGGAACCTGCCTTTGTTTGTAGAAAGGGATACCATGCCCTGAATGTCCAAGCTGTTGTCGACCATAACATGAGGTAACCAATTTGTAATAGATTTCTTTTTCTTCCGTATTTGCAATGAAAATTATTTAATTTATTTAAACATTTACAATTCTTTTGACTGAATGGTTATCAGAAAGAATAGGTATTAACATCTACTTTTTCAAATGCTGTAAACTGTCTTATACTTAAATTATTATTTTTGATTAGTAAAATATTCTCTTTATCTGCCTTTATTAGAATTATTCACTTCACTATCTTATGAACTTTTGTTTGTTTGTTTGATTTGGGTTTTACCTCACACCAACACTATATAGGTCAATTGGCGACGTTTCAGCTTTACTGGTGGAGGAAGAAGACCTCATGTGCCTCTCCGTGCATTTTTTTCAGGCACGAACGGGCACCTGAGTAGAACCACCGACGTTCCGTAAGCTAGCTGGATAGCTTCCTCACATGAAAGAATCCAAAGTCCCTGTTGGGATTCGAACCCACAGCGGTGAGGGGCAAGTGGACCGTAACCACTCGGCCACGGACGCCCCAATCTTATGAACTAAATTTTGGATAGAAGTAATGTAAAACAATTACATTTTTTTATAGGTTCACCGATGTTGTTGCTCGCTGGCCTGGGTCCACACATGATGCCACTATCTTTCATATGTGCGGTCTCAGGCAGCATTTAGAAGATAACAATCTGGGTTGGTTATTAGGGGATTCTGGTTATCCTCTTCGCCCTCATTTGATGACTCCAAAGGTATTGACAACATTTATAACTGATAATTTCGCCAAAGCTATTTTTGCTCTGGAAAAAACTGAGGGAGTGGATAGTTTGAAATTCTCTTTGCTAGTTATTAGTACAGACTTGAATTAGTTTTCACCTCATGTTGCCCCTATTAATGACAGCTATTCCAAACACAAAAAAACAACAACAACATCTTGTAACATATAAATCTTCATTTTTTTGCCATCATAAATTTATAGCATAAAAACAATAACAATATCATGAAACATATTAATCTTCATTTTTTCCATCATAAATTTATAGCATAAAAACAATAACAATGTCTTGTAACATATTAATCTTCATTTTTTTGCCATCATAAATTTATAGCATAAAAACAATAACAATATCATGTAACATATTAATCTTCATTTTTTCCATCATAAATTTATAGCATAAAAACAATAACAACATCTTGTAACATATTAATCTTCATTTTTTTGCCATCATAAATTTATAGCATAAAAACAATAACAATATCATGTAACATATTAATCTTCATTTTTTCCATCATAAATTTATATCATAAAAACAATAACAATGTCTTGTAACATATTAATCTTCATTTTTTCCATCATAAATGTATAGCATAAAACAACAACAATAAACAAGAAAGAATTTGGTGAATACAAACAAATAATAGAATAATGTTCAAGTGCTTGGCTGGCTATCAAGATTTTAATCAGTTTGTATAATCATGGCATTTGAAATTTCTATATATCATATTAAACAGGAACATACTTTATTTGAGATTTGGTTTTCATATTAAAGCTTGTTGTCATAGAAAGGACTGATTGTGAAATATTTGTGTTAGTTTATACAGTTATTGAAATTTATTATTTCAATTTAAGATCAACCCTGGATCAGTTAAGGAGGAGAGGTACAACAAAGCTCATAGCCAGACAAGAATGGTGGTGGAAAGAGCATTTGGAATGTTGAAGTCAAGATTTAGGTATTTTGCCATGCAATGCACTTGAATGTATGATACTAAGTTTTATAACATGTTACATAATTGGATGACACCAATTTTGAAAGACTCAACTATGTTTATTATTTACCATTTTACATAGAAATAAACTTTAATACTGCATGTCTGTAAAGTTGTTTTCCATCGGATGATTTGATACAAATCATATAAAGACTTCTGTAAGTTTACAAAGTAATTTTCAGTTTCAATAAAATAAAGGTTATTTGCTGTTTTATTATTTGTTTGCACCAACAGTTTCTGTTATACATATGTACATACATGCTACTGTTTTTATAGGGACCATAAAAATGGAAACCCTTCAAAATTTGTACCACAATATATTACGAATATATTATAACTTAGAACGTAAAGGAATTATAAATTGATCATTTATCAGTGATCTTCTGAAACTCATTCATTAAGATCAGTGCGACTCATTTTTTATAATTCATAATGATTCTTAATTTTTTTCAGGTGTTTACACAAAACAGGAGGTTGTCTGCCCTTCACACCAGAGAAGTCTGCCAGAATTGTCAGTGTCTGCTGTAAGCTTCACAATGTTTGTTTGGAAAGAAACATTCCTTTAATAGGAGATATATTGATTGATGACACTTTGATTAATGATGATGTAGTTACAATATCTCAGAGTATTCAAACTGGAATTAATGCCAGGGCTACCCTAATTGATCTTTTTTAAGTTTTAGCCTGACCTTTTTTTTATTGAAAAAAAATTAGAGGTATTATTACAGTCATGTTGGCGTTTCTGCTGCTGTCCACAAACTTTAACATTGATCATAACTTTATTTATGTTATATAAATATAAATGGTGATTGTTTCGTCTGCTCTGTAACTTCCAAATACATGAAAGTTTCAATTTCTATTTAAAAATTTAAAGTCACCATAGATGGACAATGTGTTTTGAACAAGACACAGGTTTCTTTGTCTATCTTCAAGTTCACTGCTGGGGTTCGACCTTTGTCAATTTTTACCACCACACTTACCATGTAATAGGTGGTTTATAAATAGAGGATATTGAATGAGTGTAAGTTCAATACTGAATTTATTGCATGAGTTGAATAAAATTTTATTATGCGAGACTCTGGCGAGCATATTATTTTATTCAACAAGTGCAATAATTTCAGTGATGAACATTACACGAATTAAATATTCTATTTATCACATACCCAAATTTAATTAACAAAATGTAGCTGTTTCTTTTTGTTATAAAATTAATTAAATTCAGCTTTAAAGATTTGTTTAAACCATTTCTAAAAAGTTAAAAGTTGAGCATTGCGCCTGTCCAACGGTGGTTCTTGTTGAAATGTGTTTTATATAGTTTACATAATATTGCCAGGTTATATGACTGTGCTATCCATGTTTAACATCTAAAGTTTGAATGAAATTATATCAAAAGTTTTGAAAGACTTGTCCTTAAAAAAATATGGTATTTGTCACTCATATAACAGCTCTGGATACTTTTTCTATTAACGTATTGATAGGAAAATACATACATAAGTTTAAAGTTAAGAATTTTCTAGCATTGTCAAATAATAATGTATATTTAACAATCGTGTAAGTTATTCTTAACATTTTACAAATTAAATTGGAATATATAAATAATAAGAGAGTTACTAATTGGGTAACAAGTTACCTACATGTGTAAGACTTTATGTAACTAATTTCAAATGATGAATTCTAACATGACCTGAATGTTTCCTAATGAACTGTTGAACAAGAAAGCACCGAAAGTGTTTGTAAAAATGCAATCACTTCATTTAGACTACCATACTAGTTATAAAAATTTTGACAGGTTATATGGCCCTATATAAATGGTTGTTTGAAAACATAACATGAGCCGCTAGGCGAGGGTTATATTTACAAACAAGCGTTCATATACAGCCATATAACCTGTCAGAAATATTTATAACAAATTTATAATACAGCAAGCATCATTTTTAGAGGAATAAAGCGAGATTTTTTTAAAAATCAACAGCAGCCGTGTATATAAAACTATATAAATGTTACGATTATCCAATGAAAAGCGACATTACAAACATGCAGTATTATAAATGTTATGTAATCACTAAATGTGACACGTGGGAAAAAGTAAAGAAACAAAAATTTAGCTTGATTTAAGGTATAGCACCATGTTTAAGTTAATGTCATGTTAGAATCAAAATAATATATCCCAATCAGTGATTTTATTGCTTTATAAAATCACTGTTTGATGTCCGGATGTGCAGCATGTTATTACAAGAGCTGTGCCTTCTTTATATAATCTCTGGCATCCGAAATCAAATCAATAATTTTAATTTAGCTGTAAAATCACTGCTTGGAATATATCATTTCTTTAGTTCACTATATTTATTTAATTTCCACTGTCCTTCCTAAGTATATGATTTTATGACTGCATTTTGTATTTGGAAAATGTATAGTTTGATTTATTTCATGCTTTCCAGTGTTTTATTGTAATATATCAGATGATTATATTCCGATAAACCACTAGTGAAATTTATAAAATATAATTTTCACTGTAGCCAGACTATATCTGAATGCAAATGAAAAAAAAAACATAACTAAATGGAATAACAGGCAGAAATAAATGCCGTCATACGTAAATTTGTTTCTTTAGGAAAAGAAAGTCGATGTCTTCATACATCATGTTAAAAAATGTAACAAAATTAGAGAAATTTAACAGAACTATATTTCAAAATTGATGACGTGACGTCATGATGTGATGACGTCACAAAGGAGAATGCGGGACGTTTCGCGGCAAAATCAGTAATAAGATACTTAAAATCACTTAAAAAGCATGAAATAAAAAGAAAATTTATTTGTTTTACATATAAGATTGAAATATATTTCATTCGTGAAAACCAGCTATAATATTTTCACTCGTGGCTACGCCACTGGTGAAAATATTGCATCTGGTGTTCACTCAGTGAATTTATATTTCAATCTTACATGCAAAACAAAAAAATATCCTCTATATTTAAAGTTCGATCAGGTTTTCAATGCTACTTTTGCATGCAATAATGTCAGTCAGACGCTTCAATTCGTTTGAAATTGCCCCAAGATTTTCATTTTGTTGTTTTTGCGTGTTGAGAATTTCTTCTAGAAATTTGCATTTCTTCCTTTCAATATCCAGAAGTTCTTGATATTTATCTGTAATTGAAATAACATATTGTAATGATTGTAAAAAAAAAATTCCAATTTTACTTTCTACTATATCCAGTTCCTTGATTCTCTGATTGTGACATTGTACTTAGGAAGCCATATTGAATTTCTTTTAAATTTAAGAAACATACATGGTACTTTTTGAAATTCCTTAAGTCATTTCTTTAATAAACCGGACATATATTCACAATAATACAATTTGCAAGATTTATTTCAAAATACAGTATTATTTCCATGAAAGTTTCCATTATATTTGATGTGTTTTACCTGTTAAAGGTACTCCACTGAGGTACGGCCGAATGTCACAAAAAAAGTAAAATTTCACGAACCGATATTTTTTTGTTACCTGCGAGTTAGGGACATTCAAACAGAATCAGTGATACATTGATATGTGTTCTTTGGATTGGCAAGTCGTTTGAAATACATATTTTCTCCAATTTTGTGGGAAAAGCGTTTAAACACCTGTTAGAAACGTATTGATTTCTAAGTACTTCAGATTTGTGAACGTTGTTAATGGCGTCAATATGTTACGCTACTTTACGCGACGTAAGATGTTTACGTCGACGTCATCATTTTTGTTTTGTTTTGTTATTGAGAATCTCGTCATTTTAAATCTGGAACTTGATGTATTGAGACAAGTCAAAATCGGTTTGTTTAATTTAACAAAATAATGCAATTGTTTTAAATGATAATTTACAGTAAGATTTAAATTTAAAGGTACAAAAGTTCTAATTAGATTTATTGTGTAATTCATATATAATTTATTGATGATGTGAATGTTTTTATGTTTATTATTTATTGCGAAGTACAAATTGTAAATGAATATTTCAGAGAATCGCTTATCAACGCTTATCAACGCTTATTGACGTTTATCAAGGAAATAAAAGTTAAAGGCGCATATTCGTTTTAGATTTATATTTGAAGTAGAACCCAAGTTCCCGAACAATTCTCGATTACTGCAATATGGAGGAAGTATCTACCGAAAATGGAACAGATCCTACGCATGAGGATTTTTTGGTAGTGTAAGCGTTCACAGTTCTTCGCAACTTGGAAAAATTGACGCGATTAAATACAAAGACTTAGAACTGAAAATGATATCACATAGAAACGGAGATGAGGTACAAATATTGTATGAACGTTGTTGAGCGTTTTGAATCATTTAAATCAGCACCATTTGTTATGCTTAGACGTATGCTGGACCGGATGTACGGAAAAACGCTTGAATTGAATTTATGAACTTGTAGTCAAATACTTTTTAGACGTGCAGGAAAGATTTTCACAGTGGAGAAATTCTGTGCAGAAAATACCTGATGATGATGTTTTAATCTACAGTTAGCAGTGCAAATTCCGTGTTCAAGGCAAAGTTGAAAAGTGCGAAAAAGCAAAACGTTTAATTGCAGAATTAAAATTTAAATCATTGGAGAAAAAAAACATGGATCGAATTAGCGCGAAAGGAACTCGAATTTAAACAGCAATTACTTGATCAATCAGGTCGTTCTTGAAGAAGCGCAGATAGAAGAATCCGTATGGCAAGAAAATTGTGTTTAAACGCGGATGAATCTTCAAAGCAGACGATATTAATCAATGAGTCTCCTAGTGAAACAAAATTCAAATAAACGTCATACAGGCAAAGATGGGATTTCAAATCCAGAAACTGATACATCAGCATGTTTTATTATCGATGATGGAATTAATATTATCATCCACAGATGTTGGGCGGTACAAGCGGATTTGATGCAGACGACATTGTTGAAACGCACTAACTCCCGTGCTGCACGTGATTGAGTAATACTGAATCGTACAAATTGTCAAATCGCACGCTAAAACGCAGTATCTGGTAACGAATTTATATACACAAGAAATTCCGACAGGTTAGTGAATCGGGGATTGATACAGCATTTCAAAAACTTGCTTTCGCGCTGCAAGGAGGGATTTAATTTACCAAAACCGGAACTATTTAACTTTCAGCGGAAAGCCAACGGAATATTGCAAGTTTATAAAGAACTTTGAAACTAATATAGAAAATAGAGTTTCTGATGACAGCCAACGGTTGAGCTATTTAATACAATACTGTTCACGGAGAAGCAAAAATTTGTATCGAAGACTGTGTGTTGTTAGAACCAAGTGAAGGATACAAAACGCGCACGCGAAATCTTATACTCTCGTTATGGAAACCGCACGTGATCACGAGGACATTACATTGAAAAACTTGTAGAAGGTCCCCAGTTATCAGCATCTGACATTAAAGGTATTTCTAATTCAAGCCATGGAAATGCAAAAAATGTGAAATCACGTTATCACAAACTAGGTTTCTCTTGATTGAAATAGATAACTCTCAAAATTTGAGACGTATAGTGAAGCGGTTTACCAATTGCATTTGAGAGTGAAATGGGTTGAGATCGCACACGTGATTAATGAGTTCTGGTAGAGAACCAAAGTTTTTCGATTTAGCGAGATTTGTAGATGAAAAGTCGCGAGTTGCTAAATTCCATGTACGGTATAGACATTGTCAAGGAGAACAGAACATTAAAAGTGGAACACACGACGACTTCCGGTCGATTTTATGCTGAAAAAACCATCAAAAGATATAAAACAACACTGACTACTCAGAGTAATACGGAAATGAAGAAGTACGAGCGAAAATGTAGATGTTGCCATGGTAACTGTACAGACTTATGTTCATGTGTGAAATTTAAGTCTATTGAATTTAAACGAACGGAACGACGTAGTTAAAAAGAACAAACTGTGCTTTTAATTGTTTGAAAGGAAATCATTCCTTTAATAACTGTAGAAAACCGAAAGTTATTGTACCGTCCGGATTGTAGAATTAAACACAATATTCTACTACATAGTTGGACTGATACACGGAAACGAGGCCTCAGTCACACAATCCTCGGTGAATTTGCGCAGCTGTTAAGAGTTCATTTGTGAAGAACTGTTTGGGTGTTGTGCCTGTGATTGTAAGAGGCGAAAACGGGATTCAGTGTCATACATACGCGCTGTTAGACGATGGTGCTGACAAAACACTATGTGACGAGAGACTGTTACAGAAGTTAAATGTTGATTTGTAAGCCAATTACGTTTCATATATCAAAACCGTGAACTCATCTAGCAGCACGAGTTATGGGCATGAAAGCGGACCTTTACAGTTATGGCTGTAAAACGGAACCGGAAGTGAGGAAGTCTCCCTCCGTAAGGTATGGTCGGTGAAGAAGCTACCGATATCTGCAAAAATCAGCGGCAATGCATTTAGACTACAAAACTTTTCCATACTTATCTGACATTGAAATTCCCCAAATTCCCAATACTGATGTAATGCTTCTTATTGGCACAGATTTCCCAGCAGCCCATATCCCCTTAGAAGTACGGTCAGGAGACAGTGACCAAACCATATGCAGTGCGTTCCCGCTAGGATGGGCGATTCGTGGCCCCTTGAAAGACGATACAGCTCCCAGTGCAGTAAATATCCACTTTGAACAGTCCCAGAGACATATTATTACAGCAACAATTAGAAAAGATGTGGAATACTGATTTCAACGACAGATTTGAACGAGAAAAATTCTATGTCCTTAGACGACAAAAGGCAATGAAAAATAATGGAATCTTCTCTTATTCATAAAAGACGGACACTACATGAATGGATTACCATGGAAAAACGAAACGGACAAATTGCCTAACAACATTTCACTCCTAAAGTGCGTCTATCCAACAACTAAGAAACAAATGTCAACGTTTGACCAGGGTTACAGAAAAATGTACACAACTACCTTGAACGAATATATAGAGAAAGGGGTTTTGCGAACTGAATTCACCCGGAATGGGGACGAAAATATTCACAAACGTATCTGGTACTTACCACAATCATCCAGTTACTAATGTAAACAAACCAGGGAAAGTCGCATTGTGTTTGATTGCGCGCGAAATATAAAGGCGTTTTCATCTTGAATAGCCAACTGCTTTTTCAAGGACCCCTGACCTAAATGAACAGTCTTATGGGCGTAGTAATTCGTTTTAGAAAAGAGAAAATAGCCCCTTGCCGCGATAAGAATCCATGTTTCATCAAGTGGGCGCAGTTACGGGATGAAAGAGCAATGTTTTACGTTTTCTATGGTGCCTGGTGGGGACTTAAACAAGAAACCGAAATGTTACGCATGTAAATTACACTTGTTTGGAGCGACATTCATCACCAAGTTGTGCGGCGTATGCCTTAAAAAGAGAACTGCAGTTGACAATGCTCGAAATATTTGAACCGGAAGTGGTTACTACAGTCCAGAGAATTTTTATGTTGAAGACTGTTTTGAAGTCTGTTGGAATCAGAACAAAAGGCAATAAATTTAGCAACTGATCTTTTCAAGTCAATTATATAAGTTAGGCGGTTTGACTGACTAAATGGTTAAAGTAAACAGCAGAGAAGTTTTTGAATGCTATGCCCAGAATGCCGAACGCGCGCCTTCTGTTGTAAATTTGAGTCTCGATGATACTTACCTTGTGAACCGCCTTTGGAGTATTTGGGGTGTAAATGAGATAAAATTTTTTTTTAAAGTAAAAAATTTGGGAAAAGAAGCCTTTTACAACGTGGAAATTTTTTCGGTAAGTTTTTATTTGACCCCCTTGACTTGTTTTCCACCTGTTACTCCAGGCCCCGGGTATAGTAAAAGTTTGTGCCAAAATTGAAATTGGTGGACGACAATACCACCAACATCAGTAAAGAATGGAAACATGGTTATCTACCTTATCTAGCTTTGAAAAAACTATCTGTGAATCGCTGGGACAGAAAGGGTTTGAACCCTCAAAAACCCGTTTACTTTTTCAGTGTGGCCGGAAGAGGAGGTGATGCGCTTATTGCGTTTTGTTGATGTACTGACAAGTACATTTCCCCGGGGGATAGGAAAATTTTATCTAGCACCCAAAAAAGCAGATGTCTATTCACGACTGGAGTTTATCTGGCGCTGTAGTAGGGTTGTAATTATTTGCAATGTTATTGAAGA